TTTTTTTTTTTTTTTTTTTTTGATTAAAGAACTTGATAAAAATCGATTTTTCAAGTCGAAAATTATTAAATTTAACCCAACCTCATTAGCAAGATGTACACAATCGATAAGCAACAATCAGACGTTACAAATTTCTTGTGAAAGTGTAACAGATTGTAGGTAGGAGTGTCGAAATATTTGACGATTATACACGAATCAATCTAAACATGTCAAGATGAAATCAAGGGAGTGATTATGACGAAAGCAGCAGGAATGAGTGTACAAGACGTTCATTCTTTGTCACTCGTTTCAATTCTTTTCCATTGTACAAGAACGAAAAGATAAAAATTGAAATTTTTAATGAAACATCTTTATGCTGAAGAACAGGAAATAATATTTCAAAATCCACGTGTTTCGTCCTACCGATAATCGTTAATTAACGCGGTTGCTCTGTAATTGTCAGAGCAAGAAAATTCCTTGCAAAACATTGACAAATATTTTGTACAATTGTACAAAACTTTTATATTAGATACAATAGAAATGCAGATTTAAATAAAATCGACTGGCAAGAGTTTATTTACTCGAATGCAATTCATACACTATATCACTATATCTGATATTTGACAGTGATGAATTTCTTCACAATCAGAGGAAAGATGCCAGCCGTGCGCAAAACTGATAAAATTCCTGATAAAATCTTATAGTTATGTGTTCCCGTTTCTTTGTAGATCAAAAACGTACTTCATTGATAAGCTACGATACTCGATATCTACGACCGTATATATTCTTTGATCGGAATGAAATACAGTAAATCGTCAAAATGTCTCTCAAAGTAGTCATTCTCGTCACCTTGCTCGCAGCCACTGTCAATGGTAAGTGAACTTGCAACGTAGTTATCGGCGATTATCAGTGTTTAGCTTCGTCGAAAAAAAAAAGAAAAAAAAGGAAAAGAAAATCAACTGAGCGTTTAGAAGAAAACTTAAATTTTGTTTTTAAAATTAAATTTTTTTTTTTGTTCACTTACAGCGAAACCCTATCGCGGCTATGTGGTGCCAATGTTCGACAGCCGCATAGTCGGAGGAAACGAATCTCTCCCAGGACAATTTCCGTGGCAAGTCTCCTTGCAATGGGGCTTTTCTCTGTTTGGCTACTCTCACTTCTGCGGCGGAGCTATTCTTAACACCGTATGGGTAGTGACGGCCGGGCACTGTGTTCTAGCTGTTCCAAATTACGGTGATTTCATCGTAAAAGCTGGAAAGCACAACTTGAAGGTGACAGAAAGTAGCGAGCAAACTGTTCGCGTCGCAAAGTCCATTATACACGAGAAATATGTCGGGTAATTATTTGTCACGTATCTTAATTGTCACCTGTTTTTGAATTTGTAAACTATCCCCGGCCACTTCATATTCTATCTTTTTCAACAAAAATTCTTCCATTTAATAGGAAATAATGAGTCGATTTCTTAATTACATTCGAAGCTAGAAATTTCTTTGCTGCTCCATATCTTGCATACATTTGTCACAATTTCAGCGATGTAGCTCCGTATGATATCGCGTTGCTGAAGCTTGAGAAACCTCTGAAACTGAGCAACGTGATCAAAGCGATTAATCTCCCGAAGTCGGCGATAACAAAAAACAAGGCAGTAACCCTGACTGGTTGGGGATCAACATCGAAAACCAATACTCCAATTATGCCGGACAGGCTTCAAGTTGCCGAGTTGCCGATCGTCGATTACCGGACTTGCAAACAGGCCATAGAGAACCTTACTGGTCCATCACCTTTGGAAGAAACGAACATTTGCACCGGGCCTCTCACCGGTGGCTACTCAGCGTGTAGTGTGAGTAATACGTTCATCCAACTTCGGTCGAGCCCCAAAAGTTCGCTCGTGATGAACTTTAAACCATTTATTATATCTGAACGAAGATGTTTATTGTTCGATCATCGACGAATTTTGTGTGTTATTTAAGGGTGATTCTGGAGGTCCGCTGGTCGCGGACGCGTTGTCCACGCAGCCTGAACTCGTTGGGATCGTTTCCTGGGGGATTATTCCTTGTGGAACCGTGGGTGCACCATCGGTATACACCAGCGTGTATTCCTTCGTCAGTTGGATTCAAAACACCATAGCTAAGAACTAGTGAATAAATGTGGCAAAAAGTTATGCATGAATGTACAAAAGTATGAAAAGAAAAAGTAAAATGTAAATGCTTAATGTAAGTCACGTATAAATGTATAAAGAGAACAAATAAATAATTCGAATTTGACAGTTTCCTTCGAGACACCGTGCCACGACGTATCAGTTAGAATATAATAAGTAAATTCGTAAATGCGTAAAATGTAAGCGAGGAAAACAGTAACATGTAAGTATG